CAGATTAAACAAATATCTTTATTATAAAAATGTTACAAGGCATTAGTATCAAACATATAAACAATACTAAACAAATAAATGTAACAAATATATTTGTATGTATGCACATATACATAAACACACACACACAGTCACTCTCTCTCTATATATGTGCATTAAATGTGAGATAGATATATATATATATATATATAAATATAACAATGTGCGTGTATTAATCGAAAATCAATGCATGCATTAAGGCTATGAACTATGAATATTACTCACTGCAATATATTTCCATTTTAGAACCCCTGTTTTATTTTACTGCATTGTATCGATTGCTGTGATGAAAGTGATCAGATTGAGAGAGTGACCCACCCCAGTGAGATGTGGTGCAGCCAGCAGCCCTGTTCCCCAGGAGGTGAGAAGTCAGTGGTTTGTGTCTCCCCATAGCCTGGAAATCTGGCTTCTATCTCAGCAAGGTCTCCTGACTCAAACATTATATTAGCAGAACAATTCGTTGACAGACAAATAACATAAACAAACAAAAAAAAAAAATCGCAGCTCTTTGGAGTTTCCTCCTTCTCTGAAGTTTTTTTTTTGTGTGTGTGTGGAGGATTCCCCACAGATGTGAGGTGTCAAGCCATGGACTCCTGGCTGCTGTTGCTGCTGCTGTCTCTCCTGCTCTCACGGTTTGGTGGCTGCATGTCTGTCCTCAGGCAGGGAGGACGAAGAGTGGACTCTGCACTGGTCCCAGCTAATACAGAGCCCTGTCATCGATTCTTCCACGGAATCCAGAGAATACTCCCAGCAAATGCTGTCAGGAGACTGGGATTAGCTGCCTGGGAGGTAATATCCTTACATTTTCTTAATTTCCAGAGGAGAAGCAAACACTGGAAACATGAAGACAGCAGCAGGAGCAGGCAAATAGTGCACAAGGAAAGACACACACACACACACACACACACACACACACACACACACACACACACACACACACTGTGTATATCAATATATAGACAAACACATATAGAAACATATATAGACACACACACAGACACATCCACGCTGTTTGAATATAGATGAAAACAGCAGACAGACACACAAACATATCTTCTTTATCTATTTTTATATTCACATACTTGTTGCCTAAAGCTCCACGGGTAAAATGAAAAACGTGTAATTCTGTGTAGAATGTTTATGGAGAGCTGTTCGGGGCAAAGTTCTACAAGTGAAGTAATCACCATGGAAACCAATGTCAAGACCATGTTTATGGTACTGCCTTTAGAGCATTGGCCCAGAATTACTGTTTATACAGAACCTTCATGGTATGTACCAGATGTGTGAGTATAGATTTTATTCTATTTATCTATCTATCTATCTATCTATCTATCTATCTATCTATCTATCTATCTATCTATCTATCTATCTATCTATCTATCTATCTATCTATCTATCTATCTGCCTGTCTGTCTGTCTGTCTGTCTGTCTGTCTCTCTCTCTCTCTCTCTCTCTCTCTCTCTCTCTCTCTCTCTATCTATCTATCTCTCAGTTAGTATTTGTGTGTTTGTATCAATTTTGTGTTTTTATGTGTGTGTATTTCTTTAGTTTTTTTGTGTGTATTTCTTTTGTGTGTTTGTGTGTGTATATATTTAGTGTTTTTTTGTGTGTATTTTGTGTGCGTATATATTTATTTTGTGTTTTGTGTGTGTATGTATATTTATTTTGTGTGTTTGTATGTTTCAGATTGGACTTTATTCCCATTAGTATTTTCACGTGCTTGTTTCATTTTATAATATTCATTTAACCCTTTCCTGGTTATTCTATGAAGGTTTCCTGCTGCTTTTCCTGTATATGAGAATGGATCTGACAGGATGGGGTTCTGGATCAGTTTTGACTTAGCTCTAAAGAACAATCTGGCCAAAAAAACAAGAACAGGTCTTGTCTCTCAGCCATAGCTACATAAATCTGGCAGATTTCAGCGAAGTAAGGGCTGCTGAACACACTTCTGATGGGTTGACATTTCAACATAAATAGGTTAGGAAATGAGGGGAAAATAGGAATGTCTAGACAGGAAAACTTATTGTTCTAGCCTGTATTAAAAAAACGTAATGTAAAAAAAATTAAATTGAGTTTTTTTCCTTTCTAGAGGGGTGCTTGGAGAAAACCTCTTGAATAATTATTTTTATAAAAACCGTTTAAATGGATACTGTCCTGTATGACAGTGCATGAGTCAAAGGTTTGTAATGAAATCATAAGGGGGGTATATTGTGAAATGTCATTCAGCTCAATACACTGTAATAAAAGCTATGGCCACAGATATCTGTCACACACCCTGCTGCTGATTTAATTTTTACTTCTAAGAAAATAAAAAAAGGAAAGTAAATTGCAAAATGCAAATGCGTAAGTTAATAAAATAAAATAAAAAATAAAAAAAAACAAAGAAAAAAAACCCCCACATCTGTGTTGTCCTAGAGTCTTTAACACTGTGTGCAAATAAAATACTTGCTCCTAAGTGACACATGTAAGTTTATAACATCTATTATGGCTTAGTAAATACAACAAACTGTCTAGTAAACACCAGGCAGCTGGAGGAACTTTATACAGCCCTCCCTGCATTAGATCTGTAAAATCATTAAGTTAAGATGCCTGCAAGTCTTTTATTTGTTTATAGGTTAAAATACTGATACATCACTAGTCCACATTCCATGTGTATGGGGTGGGATGATGAGTTCAAGATCAAAGGGTTTTAGATATAAATTAGTACATTTTCTTGCTGGCATAGTGCAAATTTGTGACCTTCTGTAAAAATTTTTTTTTTTTTTTTAAATACCTCCCTCTATCTATTTTGAGATGTATCTGTCAGCACCTTAATGGTATAGCGATGATATGCACCTTCTTCCCGGTACACCAAATATGCCCCTTCTTTTTAAACCTTACACCTCCTCCCTTCTAAAGAAAAACTCAAGCAGGCGGCTAAAGGAATTAGGAGTGACCTTGGCAGCTGAACTTCAAGGTCAGACTAGACTAGGCTGCTTCAGGTGTCGGTAGAGGCTCAGTCTGTTCAGCTCTTCTTCACCTGATGTGATCTGATCCAATAATAGCCACTGTGTTAGCCTTTAATGAGGAGCCCTGTGTGCTCTTACTGGCCCCCACCTGCTCTCAGCGATAATACCAACAGACTTTACAGAATGCCAACATGCAGACAGCATCCTCTCTCTATTTTCTTTCAAATGTTCTGAAATATTGGGTTTCACTCTGACAATAAGCACTTATATTCAGACTTGTCTTTGATGCATGCATGCCCAGAAAATCACCTGACAAGTCAAGTCTGATGGGAAGAGAATGAAATCAGGTAAAATAATATAATCACATGGTTTGGAATTTATAACTAAAACAGAAAAAAATATTACATGGATTCAAGATCCTTAACAAGCCTAAGAAATGTAAACACACACAAACAGAAACTTTGATTCTAAAATATTTATTTGAGGAAAAAAAAATCTATCTTCGCTCTGTCAATTTATGAATTCTATTCTGGAAAGCTTATATAAAATATATTTTCCCTGTGTTTGTATCTTTTATTACACTTACTACACTAATTGGCTAATTTTTTTAACTGATAAGGTACTACAATGTCATTTACACTGCTAGTCCCAAACTCTGAGAGTGTAATTTACTGAAATGTAAATTGTTTAAAAAAGCATAGTCAGGCCTAACAAGTTGACTACTTTGTAAGTTGATGATATAATGCTTTTTATTAGTATATGTTAGTTGGTTTGTATTTTCACCTAAATAAATTTTGCAGTAAATTTGCCACCCCTTATCATATCACCATAATTTCAGGTTTTTAATAAATAAATCTCTGAACATATAATTTGTGGTACCAATACAGGTACCAAATAATTAAAGGGGTTAAATTCAGGAAACGTATATTAAAGGTGGCTATGCCATCTGCACATTCCTTACCCATTATATAAGAACATACGAAACCCCAAATTGCAGTCAATTAAAAACTGATTTTCAAAATGTACCCCCCAAAAAATGGTGATTTGGAAAAAATATACATCACCGTTATACCACACAATTTTTGGCCATTTGAGCCTAAATTTCCGAATTCCACTTTCATTTCACTATAGTTTGGTGTTTATTGAATAGACCATTGTTGGGTTAACTTATTAAAATGTGAATTTTGATAAATTGTAAACTGAAGTGAAAAAGATGAATAGCTGAGTTGTAATTTCCATTTATATTTTTTTAACTTGGCAGATTTAGTTGGTAACTAACGATAACTCACTGGTTAGTAAATAAACCCCATTCACAGCGACTAGTTTTCAATATTTAATGCAGGTACGCAAAACATGCTTTCTGTAAAATAGGATGCGTAGTTTAGAAATACAAAAAAAACATTGCACATTAGAAAAAATATGACATTCATTTTTCTCTCAGCATGACAGTGTCTGTCTCATTTGCAGAAAAGATAACCTAATTACTGTCAGCCTATAACAGAGTAATTAAACAATATTAAAGGAACTAACAAACAATGAACTGTACTCATTTTTTCTCAATACAAACCACTCATAAGATGCAATGCAAACATTTATATGTAAAATGCATGCAGCACTGAGGATATACAGTTAAGCTTTGGAGTTTTGCTAGAATGAATAGCAATTATATATAATTAATGCTGAAAGTAAAATGAACATGCAGAGGAATCCAAAGATTAAACCATCTGTAACTATCAAGGGAACTTTTTAGATTTTTTTAGTTTAAAAGCCTCATTTATGTAAAGATTATTCAGGAAAACGCAAGGCTAGTTATCCTTTTTAAATCATGTATTTGTCTCCTAAGCGTAGTGTGATATTGCTGTGAAATGTTTTAATAAATGATTTGGGTATAGCTAAAGGTGTATTGGATTTTTTTAAACCAACAGCTCTTTGAAATGCGTGTTGCAGTCTAAACTGGCGAGCAACAGCGTTTCTGTATCATAGTCTTCCTATTGAAAGCTTTGATTACTAACTCACATTTTCCACGGTTAAATTGACCACGTCACTGCATTAATATTTGCTGGAGATGAAAGGAATATACATGGCAGGCCCATGTTAAATCTTCGTACAGGTAAATTTAGCCTTTGATTGGTACGGTAAACCAGTGGCTATAGTTATGGTTACCAGATTTAACATTTTTCCCTGGACACATACACGGCTACTCACTAAATTGAGAATTGTAGAGAATTCAAAGTGAATTAAAAGATAATTTCAAATTTAATGCCGAAATAGTCAAACTGCAAACATAGCTAACTTGGAGATTATTTTTCAATTCAATTATCATAGCTCTAAATTTTCTATAGCCTGAAGTTCATTTTGAAATAATTGTGATTTGCTAACAATTTTCACTTTTATAAATAGCTCTCTTATTGTATAAGTTCTACTTGCTAAGACATATCAAATAAAAATACTGGTTTGCAGTATGCAGGATTCATATGACACAGGAAATGAATCAATTCTTAAAAAAGTAACTCTAAATGATTTGCCTTTATTGTTAAAGGTACATTCCATTAATAATAAAAAAAAAAAGTTTACTATATATACCCTTAAATAAAATCTGCCTGTAATTTGTTTGCATTTTATCTTTGGCCTATATGAAACGTTGGCTTGCACTAGCTGCAGCTATAGTGTCTGCAACTACTGTAGGCCTTCTCCTCCTCAGCACATGTTTTCTGTGGCTGTCCAATCACAGAACTCTCAATGAACTGTAATATAGCTCACGGTGGTGTCTGCAAGGCAAGGGTTCTGTACAACTTCTTACCAGGAAGTAACAAGTCCAGCTGCCTGATGGACAGTCAAGGAGGTGTAACACGGTTAATCCGTAAAAGGGCTGACTTTGATTGAAATCTGCACTTTTATAAAATGAAAGAGGATGACACACTCATCACTCTTAGAGCACCTTAGCAACCTGAAGTGCTTTATGTTTTTGAAGTGTTCCTTTAACTGATTTCACCATTGTAGCATCTGAATGCCACATATTGCTGGCAAGCACTTTTCATTGTCACAAAGAAAGAAGTGTTTCTAGGAAAACATGGTGCATTTGGCAACACTATCTGGGCTTTTCACTAAATTCCAAAATAATCCAAACAGTAGAATTGAGGGTCTAATAGCTAATCTGTGACTATAGCTGAGTAGGATAATATTTTTGCCATTTGGATTTTACTTTAGAATACCGCTGTAGATGTCACAGAGAGGGGCCAGACATCATGTTAGGGCTTATATCAACATGGTCATGCTTGATAGAACCTTGGGCTCTGCACAATGGTTCTGCTGTATAGAAAAAATTTCCCCTGCTGCAGGTATTTATCTAGGCTCAAATGGTCACTCTGGACACCTCTTCATCTTACCGAAGTGGATATGGTGCAAAGACTCTGTCAGTCAGCCAACTGGATTACTCTCTTCATACCTGGTATTCCTAATATCACTAATATTCAAGGTTTACGGCTCTAGCACACCTGCTAATCCAAGACACCTGGGACAGGCTGCCCAAAACTGGGTGAGATCCTGGTAAAGGTTCTCAGGTCACTGCTTTGAGGTTTCTTTGCTATTATACACCTGTCTGTAGTAGATATGGCCGAAAATAGTGAAATTTATTAAGAAGTATGAACATACTTTTTTTTATCTTTTGTGCATCATCCATAGAAAAACAAGGGACCTTAGTAAACACATGTCTAGAACATGCCGCTTAAAAAAGGTGGGCTCACATATGTATTATATGTATTTAAAAAAAATAAAATATTTATTTTATTTAACCTCTTCAGGATGGAGTCAATAGTACACGTTCTGATCAAAATGAATATATGCTGTATGTCTGTTCAACCGTAATTCACCTCTTTCATATTGAGTGCACCCACACTTATTATATATCATTTTGTTCAGGAGAAACGGCTTTAATTTCTTATCAACTATTCATATATGAAACGTAAATTATTATGAATAAAATTAAAACAAACTGTGATAAATTATGATTTGAATTTTTTTTTTAGTTCCGCCTGACATTTTAGCGGTAAATGTCATGATACTGTTCGCTTTTACTGCAATAAAATGCACATATTTGTATTAAGCAATGTCTCACAAGTAAATCAGTACTCCCCATTAGCAGGTTTTATGGTGTTTTGGAAAGTTAAAGGGTCAAATATAGCACATTCCATTTTGCATTTTTTTCACATTAAAATTTGCCAGTTTGGTAATGTTGCCTTTGAGACCGTGTGGTAGCCCAGGAATGAGAATTACCCCCATGATGGCATACCATTTGCACAAGTACACAACCCAAAGTATGGCAAGTGGCGTATGTCCAGTCTTTTTTAGTAGCCACCTAATCACAAACACTGGCCAAAGTTAGCGTTCATATTTATTTTTATGTGAAAAAAGCAAAAAAACTAATATTTGGCCAGTGTTTGTGACTAAGTGTCTACTGAAAATGACTGGGCATACCCCATTTGCAATACCTTGGGTTGTCTACTTTTGCAAATGGTATGCCATTGTGGCTGTAATTCTCATTCCTGGGCTACCATATGGTCTCAAAGGCAACATTACCAAACTGGCAAATTTCAAAGTGAAAAAAATGAAATGCAAGCCTTATATTTGACTCTCTAACTTTCCAAAACACCATAAAACCTGCACATGGGGGGTACTGTTATACTTGGGAGACTTCATTGAACACAAACATAAGTGTTTAAAAACAGTAAAACATATTACAACAATAATATTGTCAGTAAAAGTGCCGTTCGTGTGTGAAAAATGCAAAAAACTTCACTTTTACTGAAAATATCATCATTGTAATACAATTTATCATTTTGAAACACAAATGTTTGTGTTCAGCGAAGTCTCCCGCGTAAAACAGTACCCCCCATGTACAGGTTTTATGGTGTCTTGGAAAGTTACAGGGTTAAATATAATGCTTGCGAATTACATTCTCTCCACTTTCTACCTGGGTTGTCAGGCATGTAAATCAAACTTCAATTAAATCACATAATTATGTTAAAAGATTACTTAAATATACATGTAGAATTTTAATATATATACATATATATCTATTTAAATTCTACGTGTATACTTATGTAATCATTTATGTAATTCTATATATTTATCTATATATATTTTGTTTAAAAAATATTTTATTTATTTATTTTATTATTGTATTTATTTATTCTTGTAATTATACGTATATATAAATATAAAATATATATATGTATTATATATGTATAATATATATCTTATATATATTTAACTTCATTCTAAGTGTATTTTAATACTAATATATGTAATTATATTAACATTAAAATACACTATGTATGACGTTGCAGATATATTATATATATATATATAATATATATATATATAAATACTTTAAATTTATTTTAACATGTTTATTTTTTATTTTTATTATTCTTCCCACCAGCAGGGGGACTGTCTGACAGTCCAGAGAGTCCCCCTGCTGGCAGATCCACAGCCAGCTATAGGGGGCCAGATTTGCCGTGGGAGGGCTGCCTGGGCTGTCAGGCAGTCCTCCCAAAGTGGATCGCGGCAGAGGTAAGTAAAGTTTACCTCCTGGAGCTGCAAGCCGTTACGACGTTCTATGCCGTAAAGCCCATTTAAATGGGGACGGCATAGGACGCCGTAACAGTGTTAAGTGTTAAATCTGGATGCATTGTTTGTTTAGATTTGATACAATAACACACTTACACCATTCTTTACTGTGATGATCCCTTATAGATTTAAAAAAGGAGGAACTGTCATGTCTTAGGATTTTTAATAGTATGTTTACATATCCTTACATTTACCAAATATAGATTTGTGAGGTACAAAAATTGTTTTAATTAGATGTAGAAATTCACACCTCTTTATCCTGCAACTGGGTTCCTCCACCATGGCTCAGAGTCAATCATTGTTATAAGCTCCGACCTTTGCACTTGGCAGTACGTGTAGGGGAAACATATAGAGATGAAAAGCAATGAAACAGTATTTCTATTTCTGTTTCTTATTTGCAATGTTTGCCCTGGCCTTGCCTTGTCTAAACTGGTTTATAATGTCAAAAGCTAAATCTTTAAAGGACCACTATAGTCACCCAGACACTTCAGCTCAATGAAGTGGTCTGGGTGCCAGGTCCTCCAGGTTTTAACCCTGCAGCTGTAAACATAGCAGTTTCAGAGAAACTGCTATGTTTACATTGCAGGGTTAATCCAGCCTCTAGTGGCTGTCTTCCTGACACCCGCTAGAGGCACTTCAGCGACGCCGGATGCAAAAATCGCATTGAGCACACAGAACGTCCATAGGAAAGCAGTGAGAAATTGAGAAATGGTTTCCTGTGGGCGTTTTTAATGCGTGCGCGGCTCTTGCCGTGCATGTGCATTCGGCTCCACTCGGGAGCTGACGTCGGAGGGGCAGGAGAGGTCACCAGCACCGAGGGAACCCAGCGCTGGATAAAGGTAAGTGGCTGAAGGGGTTTTAACAGGAGGGGAGCCCTGAGGGTGGGGGGGACCGAAGGGTTATATAGTGTCAGGAAAACGAGTTGGTTTTACTGACACTATAGTGATTCTTTAATTGGCAATTTAGCAATATACATTTAGAAAACTGAGCATCTCATGAAAATAAAGTTAGCACAAGTTACAGGCGATTTTCAATGTTTTATTCAACGGTGTAAATTGCAGAGAAATGACAGGTCTCCATTTATAGAAACAATGTTCTCATGTCATGAACAAGGAAAATAAAATGGCACATCAAGAACAGAGAGTGTTTATTTAAACATATTAAACATCAGGATCCGTGTGTTTGTAATAACTCTGCTCGTCTTCATTTCCCCATGTTCTAATCAAGATATCAAGAGGATAAGAAAAATTATAGAAATAGCAGAGCAATGATTTACAGTATTAACCAAATGCATGTGTCATATAACCTATAAAGTCTGCTGAATGAGCAATAGTCTAAAAACAAACCATATCTTTTCAGTGACAAAAAAATCAATTATCTTCTTTGACAAATCTAGTTGTAGGAAAAATAGAGTCATTACTCTCTTCTACAGAGACTCTCTTTTTACCCTAAACTGTCCCAGCAGGATGCTTATCTTGTACAAGTAGGTGAGTCATTAATAAAGCACCGAATGTTGCAGTTTCTATGTCCACTTCTTTACATGATTTCATAGTTATGCACTTTTTTTTGTAAAGCAGGCTTATTAACTTTGTACAGTCTTAACGGACAGGGAAGGATTAAGATTACACAGGGCCCAGGCAGATTACAAATTTGCCCCTCCTCCCCAATCATTCTTCACTTAGGGATGGTTAATGTGGTCAAGCAAATTCACCTTAGGCAGCTTCCTAGGGTCTACTTGTGGTTAATCCTGCTCTAGTGAAGGCCAACTCTAGCTAAAAAATGGCAACATTCTAATTAATCATTTCATGCAAACTTGGCATATTATAACTTTTTAGATAATATGGCAGCTGAGCATTGAGTTTGTAAACCTGTAGCTTTTCTCCTGGAATTTAAGTGAAAACTTAATATTTCACATAGTATAATGTATTGTTTATTGTATTCATTTTTTATTAAAATATAATTTTTAAGTTTGAATGTTCCTTATTAGCGTTTCAAACCTGCATAAAACCTGCATAAAACATTACAGCTAATTCTCTTCTTATAAAGTCATCACTTATAAGGACTTTTGTGCCGTCCATTGCATCTCAAAACGAGCAGATTGGGTACGTAGATTCATGGATGGCAAAAGATGTGTTAGATGTGAAGATCTTTCATTTTTGAAGGTCTCAAGTAGGAAGAGCCTCTGGTGGCTTTTTAATTATATATAAATCATGCCTAAAAATATAATATCTGAAATGAGGAGCAGATTTTGTGGTGGGCAGACAAAGTAAAAAAACAAAACAAAGAGAAAATGCAACGAAAAAAGGTACAAACTAGAGGAGGCATGACATCACCGTATCAATCTCCAAATGTTTTCCTCAGCTATTGTTTAATAATAAAGTAGAACTAGTGATAGTTATACAATATTCATGTCCCAGGAAACACCACAGGAATGCCCAATTTGGAGATAGTACAGCTGAGTTTCTAGTGTGACTTTCAGTTAGCATAAATGGTTTTGCATTCATCTTATTTCAAGGAATCTGGTTTGGAGCTTCTAGAGTATTAGTGGCAGGAGGTTCCAGTCCAAATAATTACAAGGAGAAGAGGACCTCCATGGTACAAGTCATCTTGATCACAGAGACATCTTATTGTACACTTTGGGAATGAAGAGCCTACCACCCGTATTTGATATTCTAGGCTGTTAATAAGTGGGTGATGTGTTGTAGAGGACTTCACTCTTAAGGGGATCTGCAACCACTTACCTTGGCTTCTGCTAGCACAGGTCTGCACAACCTACGGCCACCCAAATATTTTTGAACTACAACGCCCATGATTCTTTGAATAAAACAGGTAGCCAACGCCCATGTTTTTTTTAATGAAACAGATAGCCAGGGAATCATGGCTAATAGTCAGGGGATCAAGGGAGTTGTAGTTCAAAACATCTGGGGGGCCACAGGTTGTGCAGGCCTGTGCTAGCACAATGTATAAATTGAATTTAATGCTCTTCTTAAAAAGCTAAAGTTAATTATATTCAAGGAAGCTTCATGTTGCCTTCTTGATTGCAACCTTGTCTCTACAGCATACAAGCTGGATGATCACATCACCTGGACTCACCCGCAGTGGCCTCTGGGGCTTTATACACCCTGAATACCCCATCAACAAGCATAGTTCTGTATGATTTATGTGAAAACATGTGGATTAGTAGTCTGTTAACATAAACTGACATGTCACCCAATAGTCTGATGGAGGCCCCTAGTATTTTTTTTATTTTTATTTTTTCACAGTTTCTGTCCTTCAGGGCTGCTATTCAAGAGGGAGCATTGTGGAGATGCTGTAATTGTAAAATTGTGAAATGCAAGTAGCTATTTGTTCTTGCTGAGTATAAATTGCACTCAGGGTGGATTGCAAATAATTGTTGTATAATTTGGCCCCTGCATAGAAAAACTGGGTAGCATGGCGGTAAAACATATCCTTTAAATCTAAATAAAGTACATTCTGGGGTCTCAAATAGCATCAATTCATGTGATCATAGTCACCAATTACGATGAAGCAGACATTAATTATATTTTGGCTTCTGTGGAATTTGTCATGCTCACTTTGATAGACTGCTTTTAATTATCATCACTGCATAGAAATTTAGAATGATAATAATTGATATTTTACTGACCTCCCTTAGGGAACACTTTAGATATGGACAGCCGTATTATTTATATGTTAACTAGTGTCTTCCTTATATTTAGCCAGCTACAAAGATTTTGTTCCAGGCAGTATGAGATTCATCTGATATTAGAACTGATGAAAAGTGATTGCAAATAGATTTAAAGTATGGCATACTTTTTCTTTTCCAAAGAGTTGGTGCTTTATTTTCAATACTTGTAGTAAAAAACAGCCTTTAATTCCTGTTTTATTAACAAAACACAGTTAATTAACTCCTTAATTGGTTATTTTAACTTTCATTTATTTGGTTCCAATTTATTGCTCCATAAATATATTTTAGACTTGCAAGTATGTGATTCAGGTTGAGCAGAATGTTCAAGAGTTTTACTAGGTATCATTACATGAAATAGAGCCCAATAATAAATGCATCGCTGGGCTCCTATGCAAGAAATATATGCAGGACACCTTCCGGATGTGGTTAGGATCTTTTGGAATGGTACACAATGCAGATTTCCTGTAATGTGTCTGCTAGTTCTAATTCGTTATTACTGATATTGTTGAGTTTTGCTACAAAAAAATTAAGAGGCTTTACAAGAGAATATTTTTCCTTAATAATAATATTTTTCCTTAACGCCTTAAAGTTGCACTTAAGACACCAATACAGCGTTAATGCATTTAATAGATTTTGGCCTTAGTAATGTATTGTATTTTTGGCACAAAATAAAAAACAAATGTGTTTGCAGAATGCTGTACTGTAAGCCTGCCTCTTCAGCCACGCCCCCTCACTCCAGAAAAAGATTTCCTTATCAAGTGTATGTACACAGTCTCAGCCCCAACAGCATTGAGTGAGCAGCTTTTAATTAACAACCTGGTTGCAGACATCCAGAGATACAGTGATAATTATGATAGATATAGTTATGATAGATACCCTTACTATATCCCTCACTGGGTGTCCAGTACTTCTAATGCTGGTTGCTTTGTTGTTCAGAATATTCTGTACTGTTAGTGGCTGAGATGTGTGCATACAATTGCTAAGGGAATCTTTTTTTTCTGGAGAGGCAGGCCTACAGTGCAGCATTCCGCAAAACGTTTATTCCTTTCATGCAAAAACTATAAAGACTTGAGCATGCAAAAATATCAGATGCATTAATGTTGTGTTGGTGCCCCTTTAAAGGGACACTGTAGGCACCCAGACCACTTCAGCCCATTAAAGTGGTTTGGGTACAAACTCCCATCACCATTAACCCTGAGCATGTAATTATTGCAATTTTTATAAACTGCAGTAATTACTTGCTAGCGTTAACTCCTCTTCAAGTAGCTGTCTACCAGACAGCCACTAGAGGGACTTCCGGGTGCTTAGATGACTTTTGGTTATCTATACGACACTGGACGTCCTCACACTATGCATGAGGACTTCCAGTGTCACTGGAATCCCCATAGGAAAGCATTGACTAATGCTTTCCTAGGGGGAGATCCTAATGAGAGCACGGCTATTGCCGTGCATGCGCATTAGGTCTCCCCAACCGGCAGCAGGTGACAGGGAATGAGCATGGGTAGAGCTTAGCCAGTGCCGAGGGACATTGGCGCTGGACCCAGTAAAGTGACTAAAGTGATTAACCCCTTCTGCCCAACGGGGGGGGGGACTTGACAGAAGGGGAATCTATAGTGCCAGGAAAATTATCCAACTTCTGACCCCATACATATTATACATTAGTTTTTTTTTTTTAAGTGGTCATGGAGGAAGGAATCTGTACCATATTATACAGTGCTGAATTTCAGTAAATTAAATCTGAACGATAAAATTATATAACGAGGTTATAGGCAAACTGTGACTTTAGCTGAGTTGGTGAATTTTTCCAAATCAGATATTTTTGCCTCATATTTCGGCCTTGATTGCATATTGGTTAAGCTTTGAAATTATTTTTTTTCAAAATATTAAGATTATAAAAAATTTAAAGTACTAAAGTATTTTTCACAACACTAAATAACTTTCAACATCCATTTTCAATATACAACAATATTAAATAGTTTGAAACTTTTAGCCAGCGCTATGGAATCTGATGGCGCTATATAAATAATAATTGTACAGCACTACAGAATCTGATGGCGCTATATAAATAATAAAATAATTATAATAATAATCCAGAGAGGCCCTAATTGGCTAAAATTGGTGTTTAGTGATTGTAAATGGTAAATTGTTTATAAATATTAAAATTTTATGCCAAAATAGTTGAATTTGAAGATTTCTCTGATTCAGCTGGATATACGTTTACCTATTTTAAGCTAAAATTTTAAATTAGCTTTGTATATACAACAATTCATACTTCATTCATACCTGTACATATAAGTAAATGGAATCCTATTTAAAGGTCTAATAGTACACTGGATCCAAAATATAGTAAATATTAATCTGTACGTTAGCTCAAGCTATAGT